CAGTACAAGTTGAAAGGAATTCAGGGCACTCTGTGCTCTGGGAAAACTGGCAGAACGGGTCCTCAGATAGTTGGATGTTTTTAGGAGAAAATTTTATGAACTCAAATTCTTGTATCTTCTCATACTGTACTTAGAAAAGCACTAAAACCATTAACTAAGATACCTGTTCCTCGTGACTAGCAGCCCTTTCTGCGAGATGTGTGCTTGATTGTACGTACCCTTCGCCAAAATCACATCGACACTGACCTCTTCAGAACAGTTCCTTGGAGCTATCTGAGAGGCTGTCTCCTGTGCTATAGTCCTCAGTAAGTCCCCAAATAAAACTGAAACTCACATTATCTGTTTTTATTTCAGTTGACAGGCTAAAAAATATAGATCTTTAAGTTTCCCCAGTTCCTCCCATGCCATTCCCTACATCTTTCCTTCAAGTAGAATTGGATCAGGGATCCTATAAGCAACCACTTACATGAAACTATTGCCTTTTTACCCACGTTTATCAAGCCCTTATTATGTGATAGGCACAATGCTGAGTGTCTAATGTGTGCCTTTCATTCAGTTCTAGCAATAACTGCATGAAATGGCTATGATTATTTCCATTTTACAAATAAGGAGCCTGAACCACAGAAAGGTTAAGTACTTTACCAAAGGCTCTAAGTGGTGGGGCTGGGTCACAGACTCAGAATGGTCTCACTTCCAAGACCACACTTCTAACCTCATCGCAAAGTGCCTCTCTTTTTCTCTGCCAACATCACAAAGAAGTCAATGGCCCTCAGTCTTTTGTTAGATGTGAAAAGAAAACAATAATAACTAGGACTTTTAAACAGCTCTGTTTCTTGTGTAAGTTTTCACAAGTAGGTCTTGTAGTTGGTCTTCTTTTAGGATAGACCTGTTCTGTGGCTTTCAAGAGCAGTCTGAAAGGGCACTGTGTCTGATAGAATGTGGATTGCAGTAAGAGTTTAGCATTCTTATTTTAGAGGAAACACTGCAATCCAAGATCTGGCCTCTTTCCAGCTTTTGAAAAACCACAAGTCAAAATTTTGTTGCCATATGAGAGTGTTGCATGGAGGGACATTACCTATGAATTTCTATATACTAGAGACTATTCTGTCTTTTGTGGATAAAAAAAAATTAAGCAATAATTAATCTAAAAAAGAAATGGAAAATTTTATTTGACCCAACCTGAGGATTATAACCCAGGGGACAGTCTCTCAGAGAGCTCTGAGGACTGTTCCAAAGAGGTAAAGGGGGAGGCCAGTATAGGTGTGATTTTGGAGAAGGGGGTACACGCAACCAAGCACGCATCTCGGTAGAGGTGACTGCTATTTGCGAGGAACAGGTACCTTAGTTAATGGTTTTAGTGCTCCTCTAAGTATGGGAAGATGCAAAACACTGGATTCATAAAATCTTCTCCTGAAAATATCTAACGACCTGAGGGCCGGTTCTGTCAGTTTTCCCGCAGCACAAAAGGCTTCATCCTGATCTTCGCCCTGAATTCCTTTCAGGGTGTTCTGCATAGGTCAGCGACTGCAGTGGCCAATGACTTGTTCCTTGTAGAAATGGACGGTGGGCAGCATTCTTCGTCTTACGCTCCCTTCCCTTTTAGTCTTAATTTTGACCAAGGCTTAGGAGGCATTCCGTGAGCACTTTGTCCCACAGCGCTAGGAATGCTCATTCCCAGGTCAGGTGAGGATTTGGTTGATAAGCCACTCAGTGTGCTATTACTGGACTAGGCCCTGTTACCAGTGGCCAAAAGCCTCTGGATCACCTGTCTTACATTCCGTTATGGTCCAGGAAATGGTTCCCTCTTGTTGCTTCTTCCCACATCTAGAGTTACACTATTATAATCATTGATTTTGTAGAACTATATCTTTGATCAATTGTTTCAAGTCGACTAATCATCATTGATTTTATTGGAGGCTCAGTCACACATTTGATAATGCAAGAAACAATAATCCTGTACAATAGGCAGAATACGAGTAATATAGCTAGTAGCATTAACAAGGTCATAAGTATTTAAGTGAAGAGCTTCCATTAGGTGTGGCTCAGTATCCCCCCAGGTCATCTGACCAGTCTGCCAGTCTGCTCTGCATCAATAGCTGTCTTTAAGGGAAATGACATATTGTTATTGTATGTAAAGTTCACTAAAGACATCTGCAGGTACAAGGTGAGTGGTGGGTCACTGTGACCCCTTAAGGATTGACAAAGGAATGTTATCTTCTAAGGAGTTACATGGCTGGCATCCAAAGAACAACTGGCATTTATGGTTGAGCAGGTATTTCTGCCATTGGGGAGTCTAGCTAATGCAGAATGCAGATGCACAATGAATGGTAGAGGGGAGGGAGGAGGCCAAAGGACAGAGAAAAAGGTTTATGCTTAAAGTTTTCTTGGCTTAAAATATGAATTTTATGTCATCTCTTTTATGAAAGATCCAAGAGCCTCTTATAATGACTCAAAAATAATAATAAGGTCACTCTTTTTTCCAGAGTTACCAAAGTGGGCCATCATCTCAGAGTAGGAAATGAAAGGGGCCAGTATGAGATCCAAGTAGTTTTAAAAGGCATGAAGGATATGAAAGTACTTAACACTACTGAACTGTATATTTTTTTTAATGGTTAAGGTGGTTAATTTTATATTATGCATATTTTACCACAATTAAAATGTTTTAAATTTTGTTATGTGTATTTAGCAAAGCAAATTTTATTTTTGTTGTTACTTTTTGGCTTGATCTCAATTTTTTATTTTTTTAAAGGATAGTTACCTTTTTAAAAAAATTTTATTTATTTATTTTTGGCTGTGTTGGGTCTTCGTTGCTGCGCGCAGGCTTTCCCTAGTTGTGGCGAGCGGGGGCTACTCTTCCTTGCGGTGCGCGAGCTTCTCAATGCAGTGGTTTCTCTTGTGAAGCACGGACTCTAGGCAGGTGGGCTTCAGTAGTTGTGGCACGTGGCCTCAGTAGTTGTGGCGCACAGGCTTAGTTGCTCCATGACATGTGGGATCTTCCACGACCAGGGCTCCTAACCCGTGTCCCCTGCACTGGCAGGCGGATTCTTAACCGCTGAGCCACCTGGGAAGCCCGATCTCAATTTTTTAAATTGTAGTATAGTTGATTTACAATATTACATTAATTTCAGGTGTACAGCATAGTGATTCAGTATTTTTGAAGAATATATTCTAAGTTATTACAAGATAATGGCTATAATTCCTTGTGCTATACAGTATATGCTCGTTGCTTATCTATTTTATACACAGTAGTTTGAATCTCTTAATCCCATAGGCCTATCTTGCCCCTCCTCTTCAGTAGCAAGTTTGTTTTCTATACCTGTGAGTCTGTTTCTGTTTCGCATATACATTTGTTTGTATTATTTTTTAGATTCCACATATAAGTGATTTCATACAGTATATAATGGAAAAGTGCCAGGTTTCAACAGACAAGAGTCGGGCCTGCCTGTCTCAGCAGAGTCATGAAATGAATTAAATGAATCTCTTAGAACAGCGCTGGTGTGGACCATCCTCCCAGGATCTGATGGGCCTCTCTTTTTTTCCGGATAATGAAGACTGCTTTTTTAACAGAAAAGCCAATTTGATATGTTAATTGACGTGGCGCAGCATGCAGGATCTTAATTCCCCCACCGGGGATCAAACCCGAGCGCCCTGCAGTGGAGTGCGGAGTCTTGAACTCCTGGACCGCCAGGGATGTACCGATGCTCCTATATCTTAAGTGTATTTTTCTTATGGTAAAATATGGACAGCATTGTGGGTGGGGAGGACAAGTCTGGGACCAAATGTGGAATTTCCTCTCCTGACCACCCCTGCCCCCCGTGTTTAAGTAGGTCACTGTTATCGGTACCCGCTAGAAGAGACAGGAGTATAGAAGTGGGTGCTAGAATGTCAGTATAAGAGGTGTGTTCCTGTGGTGCATAAGTCCTTCGAGGGTGTATCTCAGGGGTGTGAAAGTGTGTCTGCAAGAGCCCTCCTGGGTGTGTCAAAACATGATTTCATAGGCAGAATGACCCTTAATGTGCAGATTCGGGTGGTGAGAGTAGATTGAATTCAGTCTTAAGATAAAAGATGAAGTTTGTTGTTTGTTCCCTCTCCCGAAAGACTTCGGCAGTGCCCCCCTGGGATGGGTCTTGGAAAGAACAGGACAGCGGTAGCCTAGTCTCTTTTTCTCCCGTCCCCTTGGGCCTTTAAGGGGGCTGCGCGGACCTAACACCGGGCTGGAAGGAAGAGGCGTAAGTCAACTTCCTCGCCGGCTGCACCAGCGGCGGCCATGGGCGCGCGGGTCTGCGCATCCCGCCCCCGGGTCGGGAAGGGGCGGAGCCGGGCGGAGCCCGCCCCCCGCGGTCCCCTCTTCCCTGCTGCTCCACTGAGAAGCGCTGGCCTCAGACTCTGCAGCCTGCAGGAAGCTGAGAGCCGGGACCCCGGGCCGGGAGTGCGGGCTGGGCTGAGTGCACGGGCTCGGCCGCCGCTGTCGGTGAGTCCCGGGGCGGGCGGCGCGGAGCGGGGCGGGAGGCGCGTCAGGACCGGGCTGTGGGGAGACCCCGGGCGCAAGCTGGGGGATGTCAGGCTCGCGACGTTGGGGAGCCCCAGACCCCAGCCCGGAGGAGCGTCGCGATGTGGAGAAACCCGAGCCCGGGGGCGGGGAGTCAGTGCCCCGGGGTTGGGGAGTCCGGGAGCCCTGAGGGCGAGGCGGCGGGTCAGGAAGGCGAAGTTGGGGCGTCCCGAAGCCCGAGCCTGGAGGACTGAGCGGTCAGGATCCTGACGTTGGAGAGGTCCAGAGGGTTGCGGAATGAGGGGTGCCCTGTCGGCATTCTTGGGGCGCCCTCCTCCGGGCGAAGGGGAGCAGAACCCGGGAAGGGAGTGCGGAGAGAGGAAGCCCGAGGCGGGCGGGGCGGGAGGGGAGCCCCGGAAAGCGTAGGGTGGGGCGAGGCGAGTGGTGTCTCTGGGGAAAGATGGAGGGGGCTTCTCCGAGAGGGCGGGCGCGGGAAGCGGAGTCGTGCGGGGAGCCTGGGGTTCTGTTCTGGAGGATAGGGGGTTGGAGGGCCGGAACGCCGCGGCGGAGGTCCGAGGTGGCGGTCTGAGGGGTGCGTCGGGGACTCAGGAAACATCTCGGCCTAGGGGACGGAATCCCCTTGGTGGAATGGGGTCATGGCAATCTCGAGAGGGCACCCACTCGAGAGAGCAAGACGGGCCACCCCAGACGGGGGCAGGTTGGGACCCCGCACCAAGCGAGCTCGGGGAGTGTTGGGACCTTGGGCGGGGGGACCAGGGAGGGGCGAACCTCGCTGACCCCACGCGGGCACCGCAGCGCCCTGTGCGTCTGTGGGCCCTCAGGCACAGACTCACAAAAGGGAGACCCGCGGGCCGGACGGGCTTTTGGTTGCACCTCGTATTTCTGAGCTGGGTTAGAAGTGATTTTGCCCAGGGATCCGATGAGAAGAGTCTGGGCTTAAAAGAACAGCTCTGGAGTGAGTTTTCAAATGTACAGGTAAGCTCTACGTGTGTGTGTGTAATTTTCAGACGCACATGTGCTACTTGCTGCCCCCTCTCCTGTACTCTTGAGAGGCAGTTTCTGAGTAAAAACTGGAAGAAAATCAGGAAGGCGCTCGCATGCACACATGCACACCCGAACCGCCCACAAATGCATTGCATTCCACAGCCGAGTAAACACGAGGAGTGCTGTACAGTGTTGGATTGTTTCTTTTGGCGAGGGCTCCCTTTACTGGAGTTAATAGGAGTTACCTGCGTGGAAGGTGGACTGCCCTTGACTGCCCTCTTAGGATGTGCACAGCCTATACCCACCCCGGAGCTGCTACACCCTTGAACAAGTCACCCGGCAGGGCACTAGGCGGCTTAGGACCTCAGTGGATGGACATTCTAGAGTCTTTCTGAAGATAAACAAACGACCCGTACCCTGTCTGGTTTGTTTTTTTCTGTTGTTTGTCTTGGGTGCCTGGCTCCCTTTAATTAGTTTAATAATATTGACATATTAACATATCCGGTATGGTTAATTAAGTGTTGTAGTTAGTTTAATTATTTAATGTAACAGCTAATTCTGGAAGACCCAGGGCCCTGGGAATCCTGTTAAGTGGATTTCTCCCTTAGAAGGTTCCTAGGCTTTAAGGGGCAGTGGGTGAGAGATGCCTCCCACTCCCTTTCTTTTCTGCTCTAGATATAGGTCCATCTTCTGATGTACACTGAGATTTGAGCTTCCTGGGAGGACCAAAGATTTTTGGCAACTAGCATATGTTGGGCCCTTTTTTTTCCCCCCCTTCATGAAAAGGAAAGCTCTTCAGTAATTATGCAAGTTAGTGGAAGAGTGATCTATTCATTTCACAGGTATCATTTCAGGAGAAGCTTTTCTTTTATTTTCACCAGGGGGTGGTCAGAACCTTGAACCAAAATCTGCATTATTATTATTGCGTTAGCATATTTATCCACTTGGACGTAGAGCTAGCTGATTCTTCCAATTCTTTATCCAAATGTTAGGATAAATACGCCAGTATTTATACATTCAAATAAATGCATGTTTCTCCCCTTCAGAAGCCTCGGCTTGGCCAGCTGTGTACTAATTCTAGTGATGCTGTCATTGCTGAGAATAATTTTGGAGCTCCTGCTTTGGAGTTGCCTTCAGAGCTGGCAACACGGTGACTGAATTGCCTCTGTGATGGCAAACCTTCTGAAGCTGGGAAACAGCCAAGCACTGTGTGGAGCCAACTGTGGTGGAGAATCGAGGTTGTAATAGGAAGTATGTCCATTAAGGTAATGAAAGTCTTCTTGAAGGACTAGCAGGTCTACAGGGGTCATCCAGTAAAGAGTATATGTATGTGTTTAGGATTGTAAAGTAGTTGCTGTGAAATGCAACCTTCATTTGGATGTTCGTGCTCTGGCATGTGTGTAAAAAACTGGCCCTATAGTACCTTGCTATACCTTATGGCTTATTGGGCTGGAGAAAATAAGCCTTTCTTTTCCCCTTCCATGTACTCTTTACCAGGCAGTTTCCATCCCTTTGCATTTTTACAGAAAGCAAGATGAACAAAAGACTTGTTTTTTCAGAAAAAAATGTAGTCAGAAAGTCACTTACCCCATGGGTCATTAATGCCTGGTACCTGAGTTTTTATGTGAAAGAATCTATATAGAATCAAGCGGAAGAGAATGATTTCTGAAAATCCATTTCAGTTTTGTGATTCCATAGCACACAGCGTGAAAAATTAACATATCCTTTTTCTTCCATTGGTTCCATAAATTCCCAATTTTTTTTCAGGTTGTTAACCCAAAGCTTCATATAGCCATGGCTTGAATCTTGATTTAGCTGTGATCTTGGACAAGTTATTCATCTCTTTTGGCCTCAGTTTTTCTACCCTAAAATGAAGATATAGTGAGTAGGTACCTCATGGGACTGTGATGAAGATGAAATAAGATTATGCATATAGAGCCCTGAGGTCAGTGCCCCATACATAAAGTCTTGCTCTTTGTGTTATTAATAGTGCTTATTGATAGTTATGTATTAAAATTCCTTTTAAGCCATGTAGAAATTTATCATTTCCAAGTAATGACATTCCCTTTGGCTGGGCTTTGCAAATCAACATGTCAATGAGAACACCTGGTTTTTACTCTCCTAGCCTCTCAGGAGTTTTTAAACAGTCACCTTTACTGCAACCAGAGCTAGCTACTTTATTTTGAATTCTGATATTTTAAAAAACGAACAGTCCTGTTTTGATTGTGTGTTAGGTATAAGAGTTTGGTCAAAAGCTGAAGGAAAATTGTTTAAAAGCTTCTCCTATAATTTTTTCCCTTGATCCAATAAAATATTATTCTAACGACGTAGCTATAGTTTTCTTGGCATATATTGAAAGGGATGATTCTGGGGAATGTTTGTTTCAGTTAAACTGGGGTTTTGTTCTGCTTTTTTTAAATGATAGGGAGGAAGAACCTGGCACTATGTTCTCAGCTCTTCCATAAATATCGACTTTAATCTTTTGCAGATTTATGAATTTTATTAAAAATACTTGCATACAAATAATTTTATCATAATTTTTAATCCAATGGTTCGGGGTTACTATGAAATAGAGGTTTCATGGAATGTTCGACATTTAGTGAGAGTTCTCTGCATTTCAGCAAAGTTTGTTCAGGAGACAGAGGTATAAGAAACAGATTTCTTCCTCCAGAAGTTCACATAATGTGCTCTCTTAGGACAATGCATTAGCAAGAGTATTTTTTCTCCTAATGGCTTATAGGGCTAAGGATTAATATGGATTTCACTGCATGTTCTTTTCCCTCAATTTCTTGGAGAAGGTTAAATATATAGATCTCTCAATAGTGTTCATATTTTTTGACGTGGATTAGATCCTGCTATGCACTCACATGCCATAAAAGGAGATAAGGGCTCTAAAAGTATTTAGTGAATTGTAAAGTGATACACAGTCTGCCTTCCCTGTGGGGGCTGGATGGGGGGGGCGCTCTGCATCCTCAGATTCAACCAACTGTGGATGGAAATGTCAAAAAAATTAATCCATAGTCGGGGATATATGTATATGTGTAGCTGATTCACTTTGTTATAAAGCAGAAAGTAACACACCATTATAAAGCACTTATATTCCAATAAAGATGTTAAAAAAAATTAATCCATAGTCAATCTGAGAAAGAAATGGAAATCTTTATTTGAGCCAACCTGAGGATTATAACCCAGGGGACAGTCTCTTAGAGAGCTCTGAGGACTGTTCCAAAGAGGTAAAGGGGGAGGCCAGTATAGGTGTGATTTTGGAGAAGGGGGTACGTGCAACCAAGCACGCATCTTGGTAGAGGTGACTGCTATTTGCGAGGAACAGGTACCTTAGTTAATGGTTTTAGTGCTCCTCTAAGTATGGGAAGATGCAAAACACTGGATTCATAAAATCTTTTCCCGACAATATCTAACTACCTGAGGGCCGGTTCTGTCAGTTTTCCCGCAGCACAAAAGGCTTCATCCTGATCTTCGCCCTGAATTCCTTTCAGGGTGTTCTGCATAGGTCAGCGACTGCAGTGGCCAATGACTTGTTCCTTGTAGAAATGGACAGTGGGCAGCATTCTTCGTCTTACACTCCCTTCCCTTTTAGTCTTAATTTTGATCAAGGCTTAGGAGGCATTTCGTGAGCACTTTGTCCCACAGCGCTAGGAATGCTCATTCCCAGGTCAGGCGAGGATTTGGTTGATAAGCCACTCAGTGTGCTATTACTGGACTAGGCCCTGTTACCAGTGGCCAAAAGCCTCTGGATCACCTGTCTTACATTCCGTTATGGTCCAGGAAATGGTTCCCTCTTGTTGCTTCTTCCCACATCTAGAGTTACACTATTACAATCATTGATTTTGTAGAACTATATCTTTGATCAGTCGTTTCAAGTTGACTAATCATCATTAATTTTGTTGGAGGCTCAGTCACACATTTGGTCATGCAAGAAGCAATAATCCTGTACAATAGGCAGAATACAAGTAATATAGCTAGTAACATTAACAAGGTCATAAGTATTTAAGTGAAGAGCTTCCATTAGGTGTGGCCCAGTATCTCCCCAGGTCATCTCAGCAGTCTGTTCTGCATTAATTGCTGTCTTTAAGGGAAATGATATCTTGGTATTGTACATAAAGCTCCCCAAAGATGTCTGCAGGTATAAGGTGAGGGTGTGTTATTATGACCCCTTAAGGATTGACAAAGGAATGTTATCTTCTAAAGAGTTAGGTGGCAGTCAGAAGAACAATTGATCTTTATGTTTGAACAGGTGTTTCTGCCACTGGGGAGTCTGGTTAATGCATAATGCAGATGCACAATGCATGGTAAAGGGGAGGGAGGAGGCCAAAGGGCAGAGAAAAATTTCATGTTTAAAATTTTCTTGTCTTGCCTTAAACTGTGAATTGAAATAAACATCGGAAAATATTTAGGAAAAAAATTCCAGAAAATTCCAAAAAACAAAACTTGAATATGCCATGCGCAGGCAACTACTTATGTAGCATTTACTTTACATAGCATCTACACTGTATTTACAATTATTTTCATAACATTTACATTGTATTAGGTGTTATAAGTAATCTAGAGATGTTTTAAAGTATATGGGAGAATGTGGGTTGGTTACATGCAAATACTATGCCATTGTGTATAATGGACTTGAGCATCCACAGATTTTGGTATCTGAGGAGGGTCCTGGAACCAATCCCCCACAGATACTGAGGGATCACTGTATAACCATAGGATAGGGGGCTATTATTGTTGTTCCATACTTTCCCAGAGTGTTCTGATTATCACCTCCATAGCGGTGTTTGGCCCTTGCTCTATCTCTCTTCTGAATGGTGGTTTACACCCAGAAAACAATACAGCAGCGTGGTTTAGTCTAGAGCAGTGGTTCTTAATAAAGAGCAGTGGCTGTGTTTTTGCATCCGCCCGCCCCCCAACCCACCAGGACATTTGGCAATGTCTGGAGATGTTTTTGATTTTCACAGCTGGGAAGAGGAGAGATGTTA